AATGTTAGGTAAATCATAAAAAGCACAAGCAGCTAGAAATGTGTTGTAAACTGGTATATTTAAAGAATGCATGCCATTAACAGATAAACAAGAAGACCATATATACAGTCTCTGTTGACATTTGTGGGCTTTCCTTAATGAGAAAAAGTGAGTGAGACCCATCCTTTGTTGAGGAAATCCAGTTAGACTTTACAAGAACCTGTTTACTTCAACCACAGCGGCCTGCTACTGGTATACAAAGGAAGAATTTAGATGGCCGATAGATGAAGGCATGATCAGAACACTAAGCAGAAAGACCATAAAGAGATTTGAGCATATGTATTTGATATAAATATTATAGTTTTATAGAGACATCTAGATCAATATGCGCCACACTTCATTTAGTTACTTGACAAGTGAACACCATGTATTCAACTGAATGCTGAATGGAATTTTGTATTTATTATCTTTGATTTATTATGACAGACTAGTTAAAGTGAGTTTTTTCAAGTTCTTTATACTTGTTCCAATAAAATGGATATAATTTCTTTCAAAATAACTGTTCCAATAAAATGGATATAATTTCTTTCAAAATAAACAGGCAAAAGATTTTCTTTTCGTATTGTGTCCTCTGAAGGAAGAACCATGCAGAGATCCTTTTTGAAGAATCCTATTCACAGTGGATCTGTTTTCATTTACAGTGCTATTTACATGGATTAAGTGTATGTTCTCAATTATCTCATGTCAGAATTCTAGATGTTTTAGCTTTTGCTTATTTCGTTTTTGTCTTCATGAAACTGTTTTTATCTGTAGTAGCTTTGGACCTTTTATCACCATTTTTTTCTACTTCATAAGAAGCTGGTGTATTTTTAGCAAATGTATGATTATGTTAATACTTGAGTGGAAAAAAATTAGGTACCGTAGAGAATTTCAACTGTGTAGAATCACAGTTGAAATCAACTGTGTAAAACTGTGCTAATCTTTCATATTTGGTCACTGTAATTAATTTTGAGAATAATAAGTACATATGGGAGAGAATGGATTAGTCTGGCTTTATTGTTTGATAGAATATGGCCCCTGATAAGCTTTTGATTCTCTGTAAAAGATTCTTTTTGCTGCATCACAATCGTGTAATATGGATTCCCATTAGTATATTAAACCAGTTTCACCTCTGATACATGATACCATTGACAACTATTACTTAACAGAAACCTTAGTCCTCCTCAATATTTATCAGCAATAAAAATGTCTAAATTCCTGAATTGTGGTTTTCAGTATTGTAAGGGAATTTCTAAATTTTGTTTTTAAAGAATGAAAAAAAAATTTGAAATCATAATAATTTAGCTGAATACTGTATTACTTTTGAGGTTTTTTGTAAACAAAAGCTTAATGCAGAGGTTAGACATTTCTGTTGACCCCAAATTATTAATACAATATTTTCCTACCAACCAGCTCTAGCTGAAAGCAAAAGATATCCAGTATGTTGGCTTTAGTTAAACTCTCAGTGCATGGAAAAAAAAATGGGTGGTACATGGGAAGAGAATGGTTATTGGAACAAAAGAGGAAGTTATAAATCTTCAAATCATATCCAGGACAGATTGGAACAATATAAGCTCTCCAAGTTTTCTTAAATAATGTACCCAATAACTCTCTCTGGTCAAGTAGGAAATCTGTTTTGAATTTCTTCTACTTCTAAGCAAAAATATAATTTATGTCAAAAAGAGTTTTATTGTGGGAGTTTTCAACCAAAAATTAATGCAAGTATCTCATCAGAAAATATTGTTCGAAAACCCGGAGATTTTGTTGCAAACACTGCTCAGGACACTGTCTTGCGCTATATAAGAACAGCAAAGAAGCGAAGAATAGATCATGTCCAGACCCAAGTCAGAGTGCTAAAATGAAACCATGGTGCAGATGCCTTCTGACACTTGCAAAAGCATCAGTCCTGATGCTCAAATGCAAGAGTATTGGATAGCCAGATGTTTTATTTTCACTAGAGCAGATTGCTATGAAGTCCTACTGAATGAGAATCATAACAGGACTGAATTATTGTACCAAATGCATCTGCTTTTAGTGGGAGGTTTTTGTAGTAGATAGCCTCTGGAGGTCTTTTCCAACCTGAATTATCTTGTAATCTTATGATCCTATGAAAATTTCTTCTGCAATAGAGTAATCTGGGTTGCACACTCTGTTTGCCTTGCAGCTTTTCTCTTCACTTTACCCATATTTTGTGGACTCTAATTATTGACAGAAAAGAACCTATATGAAGTGAAATCTTCCCAGGAAGGAAGTAAATTTTCTGCGCAGGAATGAAGTGCAGCACAAGAGCATTCAGGAAGAGACCCTGCTATAGCTAACAGCACAGGATCTGTACAAAGCAGTTGCCTACAAGAAGAAAGTATTTCTATTATTAAAAATAACGCATCAACTATGCAAATGGAAAGATCAATTTCTTAATTAGTAATAGATGGAAACATTTGAAGAAAATAATACCCATAGTTTAAAATTAGTCATCTTAGAAAGTGTGTACAGACAGTATAAGGAATACAAATGAATATTTTTAGCTGCTCTTTATCATTTTCTTGGGCCTTTGTGGTTTTTGATGCTAGATGGGTTTACACTCAGGAAAAGTGCTGAATACCACTAGACGGCTAGAACTTCCCAATATATTAGTGTAATGTAGTGTATCAAACACAGTTTGTTCAGAATTTAGATCTAGAAAACTACTCAGGTTTTAAACATCTCTTCAGAATCTGAAATTTCTTGAGGTTTTCCATTTACATTGATATATTGGATGGAGATTCATCCATTTGGTGGGGAGTGAATCTTTGTGCTTGAAATCATATTTTATGCTTCTGTGTTGAAGGTTATTATCCTGACCTAACTGTGAGTGCAATAACGCATGCACACACGGTGCTGACAGCTCAGGCAATTGACCGCTAGGGAAAATGAGGAAGAGTGCTTCTGAAAGGGGGAATATAGGTATGGTTTTATTCAGTACAGAGGCTGCTGCAACCTCTGCCAAGCTTCAGAGATCCTGTAGGAAGCCTATAAAGGACACCTAGCACCAGAAAAGGATGAGCTAATATATGTTATGTCTTGTTTTCTGATATTGTGCTTACCACTTCATAAAACAGGAAAGCTTTAACTCATGGATTTTTGTGGTTTTAAGTGTTTACAGTCCAAGAATTCAGTGCTCTGTACACCTACTGCACCAAAAACTTAGGTTAAAATTGACCAAAATGTTACTGAAGCCAAAGCAGACTCTCTGGATAGGTAGTTGAGCAATAAAAGTTCGTAGTATTGAGTCCTATGTTAAATACAAACCAGCATGATCGGAGTCTCATATAAACATATATTCCTTGCCTGTTAAAAAGAATGAAAGCATTGAAGTTTTTGACTGCTGCTACTTCTAAAATTACATCTAAGTCCTGGTGATGTCCCTAAGAACTCATGGAAAGGAGTTTTTGAGTTTATCATATTTCTAAATAAAGCTTTAAAACTGTGCTATGCTATATCATAAGGTGTGCTGGACTGGTGTAATAGTTTATTGTGTTTTGCTTTTCTAGTGACCATCTGAACCACTGCAAAATTAACAGTACGTGATGGTGATATTATTCACTGCCTGATGTGTATTGCTGATTTATTCTTTGTTCTGCATAATTATCCCTTTTCCAATGAGTTCTATGCACTTCTCACACACATTTCATCAAGCATCAAATTATGAAGCAAAAACAGACTCCCATTATAGCCCATTACATAAGTAATCATTGCTGCCACCTATTATTTGTTGTTTACATCCAATGACGTTTCTGCATTAATGAGTTTTCCACAAAACAATTATGAAGTAGGTGAGACTTGGATGGTCTACTTCCTACACTTGGAATTACTTTGCTTCACATTTGGCAGTTCAAGTGCCAAATAAGTTTGTGAAATTGTGTGTTTGTAGCGTTTGTGCACAGACTACATGACTGTAATGAAGCTGACTTTCTGTTAGTTCAGGAATTGTATCTATACCACCTTGTCCCTCTTCCTGACTTCTGTGAGCAATGTGGTAATTGGAGCTGTTAGCAATAGGCATATCAAAATCACCATTTGTCTTAAACACATGACAGTAATGGAAGCTGTGATTGAGTTTATTCCATGAAGGAAAATGTAAGACAATATAGGATATTCTAATGAAAAATTTTTGGACCTTGCTTTACAACAATAAAGGAACAAAGATCCCTTAAGTCAGGAAGAGTGCCATTTCCTAGGCCTTTTCTTCAGCCTCTCAGAATTTAAGATGTAGAATTCAAGAATGTGTATGTAGGTATATATTGTGCTTCCATTTTACGTGGTCAGATACATCTATTAATGGAAACGTGGAGCAGTAGAAACCTTTGTGACATCACAGTCTATGCAAACTTTGATTTTCTAAGCAATCTATTGCAATGGTGCAATAAATAATGATTTCTTATTGTAAAGTACTCTCCCTGTAGGAGTTATGGCAGGAAAAAGATTTCTTTTTTACTGCTTATGGCCTGTAATTGGCAAGCTTTCCTCAGTCTTCATTGGCATAAGTGTGCTTTCAACAATGTAAAAGTATTGAATCATTTTAGGGAGATTTGCTGTCTCATTATGTCATAAACCAAAAATTTAAACAGTAAATCTCAGTAGAGGAGGTGAAGATGTGGAGCAAGATGTGTGAAATAAAGAAATATGACTTTGAAAGGGACTGGTTAATACAGTGTATAAACATATATATAAATGATGCCACTTAATGTTAAATGTGTGATACAACTTGACCAAATGGTTCGTCTTAGTAGTCTTTGCAAGTGAGAGTGTATATGTATTTGCAATTGCAAAGCACCTTTTGGAACTGATGTTTTCCTTCTCTGACTTCATGGAATAGGATCTAGAGAAACATCAAGAGGAGACCCGTACTATTTTTTGGCCAATAAATTATAATTTCCTTCTTTGCTTTCTTGCTTGTTTGTTTTATGCTCTTTGCAAGATTAACTCTGATTTTTCTGTAACAGGCACATAGTTGTCTGTGGCCACATAACACTTGAAAGTGTGTCCAACTTCCTGAAGGACTTCCTGCACAAGGATAGGGATGATGTCAACGTAGAAATCGTCTTTCTGCATAAGTGAGTAATCTTTCAACACTAGTCTTATCAGCTGTTATTAAAACTCATTAAATTAAGACGTGTCTTTTTTGGGAAGATAGAGGATCTTTCAAGCTCCAAATAAGCATGAAATTAATGTCTGAAATTACTTTTGTTAACAACGTATTTTTGAAAAAAAGAGTTGTTTTCTGCAATTGTCTTATAACCCATTGCAAAGTATAGGTGTTTCAAGCAGACAGACTTCAGACCCAGTCACGTCAATTGTGAGGTAGATAGCTAAACACACAGTTGAAGTGGGAATGGAATCATGAAATAAAAAATATTGAAACACTAATATATAGATGTGAGAGTTTTCTTTAGTCACAAATATTTCTAGTGAAACTGCCAAAATTGGTAAAATTGGTAAAATGAGTGAAAAATACTGTATGTCATATGAAGTCATGCTATCTGAAAACACATTTTCACTTTTGATTTCACTAGCCAAAAATGCTTATTTCGTGTTGCAAACTACGTCTAAAAAGAAAAATGTAGGTGAAGATACAGTTTTAATATAAATGAGATACATTATTTTGCAGATATAGCAAAGATAGAAAAGAACTTCTTGTCACAGTGATAATTAGTACTGCTGTTTTACCCACATATTCATACCTACACACACATAGTGGCTTGCATTTTTGTGATGTGGGATTTGGAAAGGTGTCTTAAGGTGGTCGCCGTTTATTGCAGGCTCTGCATTACATGTATTACAACATCAAATAGGTGTGCCTATGGGAGAAGCTGCTAGAAATAGCCATGTGCTAGAGCAAGCGAGCCAGTATGAAAGGTCTTTTCTGCTCTGGAATGGCATCTGTTTAGAAGTGTTGCAAGCTATGAATGAGTAATATTTTTGCATTTAGCAGCAAGTTCTGTGCTTTTATTCTTGTCAAAGAAAATGATTAAAAAGTTAAAGAATCATTTATGATGATTCAACAAAGGAAGCTGAAAAGCTAAGAATCAGCAGCACTTGCACAATTTTTATCTAGTCCTTTAAAATTGAACTAAAGATTATATCCTCAAGTAACTATGTTGTTTGTTTGCTTGTTTCCCCTCTCTAAGTAATAACAAAGATTGACTGTCAGAGGAAAGCAGAGATCCAGATTTCCACAGTGACACTGCATGGTGATAGGAATCAGGAAGCTGCATATGCACATGAAGGGAGTTTAGCACCTGGCTACTTGTTTGTGCCTGCTTTCTTCTGTACCTTGACAGACAAATGTTTGCATGTATCATGTTTTATTTTCTTATTAAATTTAGCATGCGGCATGACAAGATCTCATGCGCTTACTATGTAGCTCTTAAATTCCTTCTGTTTTAATGAGTGGCATCAGCAAACGTATTTACAAGGTTGGTGCCACATTATGCAATAGATTGTGATCAATTTAATTTGTTTTGTTTATGGCAAAATGAAATGAGACAGAAAGTCACAGCATAATTATATTTGTTTTAATTGTAGCTCATACAGGTCACAGGGTCCCTATAGGTCCCTATATAGGGTGCCTTTTCTGGCTTTTAGTGATTTTGCACTGAGATCTCTCATTTGATGTAATTGGCTGTGGGGACATGCAGAGGATGATTGTCTCACTAGACAATTTCTGTGGAGAATGCTGCGTGAGCATGTTTTCAAATGTTTGCAGCGATTCTTCTGGATCCATGTCTGTGAGAAGCTGACAAGTGATGAACAGGCAGAGCAGCACAATGAGGTGGGCCAGAAGCTCTATAGACAGAAGTCAGGAAGTGAAAGTAGTGTAGCATTTGTCTTTTAAGTACTGCACGTACTGCACACTGTTTCCACACCACAGGAAAAGCACCAGCAGAAGTCTGAATACCTAAAATAAATAAACGGGTTGGTTTATAAATGAAGAAAATGGGACAGTTACGGAAACTGACTTGTCATTTGCTCTTGTGTTTTCTTCCTCTTCCCAATGCAGTATCTCCCCTAACCTTGAGCTGGAAGCTCTTTTTAAACGACACTTCACTCAGGTGGAATTTTATCAGGGTTCAGTCCTTAATCCCCATGACCTGGCGAGAGTGAAGGTAACAGCTCTGTGTTCTGTTCTGCTGCTAGTTGACTTTTTTAAAGTACCCATTGCATTATTTGGAAAAAACCAGTAAATCTCTTCTTTATGTAACCCCAAAAGATTGTTTTTCCATCTCTATTAGCTTGCCTAGTAAATTATAATATCTGTCCTTATAAACCTCATTTTCCCTAGATCTTTAGATCTTCAAAGCTACAGTAACACTGTGACTTAAGATACATTGTCTGCCATTCCATTGAACTCTTTATGAATTTTTCATTGGAGTTTAGTTCAAGAGTCTATTTTACATTAATGTTTAATATAATAGAACAATGTCTTACAGTAATTGTTTAAAATGCTATTGTCTTACCTTCATCAGAACGATTAAAAAACAAGTTTTCACCTGTCAAACCCTTTTTCTATTGTCTAGAATCCTGGGGAAAAAAAAAATACAATTTAAGATTTTTGGTAGCTAAAATGACATGGTTCTATTGTCTAGAATTCTCTGTGGTAAATTATTTTGTACTCTTAAAGCAAAGCATGAAGCTTAAATGAAAAAGAAAAGATGGCAAGCTGTCAGATACAGCATTAACTCTTTTATGTTTCTTTTTCTTTCTTTTTTTATATGGAATGTAAACCGGCTACTTAAGCCAAGAATATTTTAGTGCAAAGTTAACACTTTCTGGTGTAGTAATCATGTCTTTTGTCCATTTTGGCTGCAGAAATTGCTTAACCTTTTGTAGCCCAACACACACTGTTTCAATTCATCAGAACAAAATGTTCTAATTATGACCATAAAATTGTGTGTTGGTATTTTGTGTTCTGTATTCCACCCTTCTTTGTGTTGGCATTTGGTTGTATACACTGAAAAATACTTTTTTCATCTGCTTTGAGTTAAATAGAGCTAAGGTTTGTATGAACATAGAGGTCCTGCGAACAGATCAGTTCTCCTCCTCATGCTTTCTAAAACCAGTGCTCAGATTGTAAATCATCAGTTCAGCTGCCTCTTCCTGTCTCTAATGGGAAGGTACTTAAATTCCCACACAAAGCTGCAGGACTTGTGGGAGGACTGTACTGATATAACAGGAACTTCCTATGGATTTAGGGGTCTAAATTTCAGTATCTGGTTACAAATGATATGTCCATTAACACCTTCATGCCTCAGCTGATAGAACGTAAGAGTCAATAATTGAACTACTGACCTGGTCTGAGCATCATAAGCAAGTTTCAAGAAATTGCTATGTGTATATGAGAGCTGTTATCATCACTCACATTAACTCACATTAGCCTCATAACATTTTTGATTAGCAGCATTAGGAACCAACAGTCACGCTCATGATGGCAGTGTTGGATTCCCTAATACTTTATGATGAAAGAAGGGCTGGAAAGAGAGGTGCTATTTACGTTTGCTTTTTTTTGGTGTCTCAGATAGAGTCAGCAGATGCGTGCCTAATCCTTGCTAATAAATACTGCGCTGACCCAGATGCTGAAGATGCCTCCAATATTATGAGGTAAACTCACGAGTTTTTCATAGGCTTTTGGTTCTTAACTCTCATTAGCTAACTTCTGATCTCTAGATAGGATATAGCTACACACAGCTTTATTGCTGTTCTGTTGCACTTGAAGAACAGTGTGGGATTTCTTTTAGGGGACAAATTACAAAATTGTCTTAAAAGTTCAGAGATGAGGATACCCTAAATTCCTGCCAGTTCTAATTTAGCTGCTCTAGAAAGA